CAAGTCCCCCTCTAAAGCATGGGTGTACCAGAACTTTTCAAAGAAAAGGTCAGCTGAGAATTATAAAATAGGTGAAATAACATATTGTTTTCCCTTAGACTTATTCAAGAATTTCTGAGAATTCTTTTGGCAGTACCTTTCCAGAAAAATATTCAGCCTAAGGAAAACTTTAACTAATTTTTTAAAAGTTTTACAGGGTTAGAACCAACAATAAATAGGTTCACATGATAGGAACTTTAGTAAAATCCTGTCTTTTACTAAACCTCATAAACCTGTCCAAAAAGGCCAGTACCATATTTGGCTTTCAGAAACATTCTTGGTTCATGTTTGGGTGACAACAGTAATCACAATAATTATGTGTTTATTATATATTTTATATAAATCTGGACACAAACATGAATATCTATCTTTCGATCAATCGATCGATTGATGGATATTTGTGCTTTGTGTCAAAATCGATAGCTAGATATTCATGCTTTGAGTCAAAATTCCCACCCCCCTCCAACCTATCCAAAAGGTCCAGTACCAGAAAATGGAGCTCATGGGAAGGAAAAACACATGGGCCCTTGCCTGATGTTAGTCAAAGTAGCACGGTAGCTACTAATAATCTAGTATAAAATCACTAGACCTTCATTAGGGAGAGATTAACTTGTTAGCTGAAGCTAGTGATATTGAGAAAGGTATTTTGTAGCACATTAGGGCACTTTTACACATGCTCCGGAGGTGGGTGGGGCGGTGTTTTAATTAGAGTGGCTCTGAGAGCCGCTCTAATTAAAGCACTGCTGTGGCTCCTGTATCAGAGTCCCCCTGCTTAAAAATGGTGGTGGTGTGCTTGAACTAAAGCTTGTTCAACAAGCACCGCTGCCACCATTTTTAAGCACAGGGATGCTGATACACGAGGCCCATGATTAATTGAGTTTGCTTTGATGTGCTGGAATTCCAGCATGTCAGAGCAGCCTCTACACTCATGTATAGGTACCTTTTCTTACCATCCCTTTCACTAACATGCAGTGTCTGCTAGACATGATACGAAGCCAAGGCACTACTAAGACAGACTTGAGAAAAGAATGTATTTGTTATACTGAACATGGGCGACTGGTGTCTCCCAAGTCTTGGGTGGGCACCTGCAGGAGCCGCAGTCAGCATCGGTGGTGGGGCTGGAGCTGGCAAGCTCCCGCAGGTGCCACTGTCAGCGTTGGCGGCGGAGCTGGAGAGTTCCTGCAGGTGCCGCTGTTAGCGGCGGAGCTGGCAAACTGCCGCAGGCACTGCTGTTGGCGTCAGCAGCAGGATCAGAGCTGGTGAGCTCCTGCAGGCACTGCCATCGGCGTTGGCCACAGGGCCAGAGTTGGCGAGGTCTCACAGGTACCACCGTCAGCAGCAGAGCTTGCGAGCTTCTGCAGACACTGCTGTTGGCATCGGCGGTGGAGCTGGTGAGCTCCTGAAGGTGCTGCTGTTGGCATCGGCAGTGGGGGTGGAGCTGGCGAGCTCCCACAGGCACTGCCACCAGCATCAGCAGTGGCCCTGACAGGGGGGGCACATGCCCCCCTATGTGTTGCCTATGATACTAAACACCAGTTTTAGAGCAAAGGTGTGGGGGATGGGGAGGAGCTGGGGGAGCGGCAGGGATTAAACAGAAAATGTATCCTATTTAACATCCCCAACTTTACATTCTTGATGTTTATGAGGTACCAACAGAAAAGTATTTAAGGAAATATACTTAAAGTATATGAATAACCCTAATTAACAATCTGCATCTTTTAACCTTCTGTGGAACCAAAGCCCAAAAGAGTAAGTTAATGTCTGTTTACTTGCTGAAGATCTAACTAGACCTTGGGTAGGCAGAAGGAAAACTTAGACTGGAAGGACAAAGGTCTCTGTGATGGAGGCAAAATTGGGCCCTGGATGCTATTGTTGGAAATATCTGGAATAATTTTTTGTTAACACCTAAATTCTTTTAATTGTAATATTCCAAAAAGGGGTTGCAGTTCCAGGTCCAGGTCCAGGAATAACCTAAATATCACTGCTGATGAGTCATTCAGAAAGCACATATTTGTACATACATGATATGGTTCTCATTGACAGCAAAAGTAGCACCAATATGCTGATTCATCACATAAATATTCTGATTATTGCCATCTAGACATGAAACAATTCATTTTTTAGAGGCAAAATATAGAAGATCTTCCTGTATACATAACAATTTGCAAGACTGAGCCCTAAATTCACAGGTCTAATTAGTATGAGTGGTATTGCATGGTACACTGAACAGATAATTTTTTCCTATGCTATCTTCACACTGCTATGGATGCTAAGTATAAATATGACAAGAATAGTATGATACGTTCATATATTCATAATTTCATTTTAGAAATGGAGCAAAAGTAGAATACCAGTACATAAGTTACACAGCTAGCTTGCTGTACATTATGAAAGTTTTCTTTAATTACTGCACACAGTAACATTCCAATTTATAATCCAGATCTATAAAATATTTAGAACACTTTACATAAAGATGACCCCTATGAACAATAAACATTAACTTCAAGTGTTTGAATGGGATATACAATTAATGTTTCTTTTGGAAAAAAAGTTACACAGGCATTTATTCCCTTGCTGTCTCTCTGAAAATACACACATTATATATTTGTTAGCCAATTTTTCCCGTAGGAGATTAACATTAATTTGCAGCATGTACAGTTTTCATGAAAGCAAGACTCTGCAGGCAAAAGTCTGCTAAACTGTTCTGGCTGTAGAAAATTGCTACTTGTTGTGGCTGATTTTATACCCATTAAAGCAATTACTTTCAGGCACTTGGTGGTACATGAGCTTTAATATTATGTGTCATGGTAGAACTGGCTACATTTTACACCCTGAAGACTTTGTCATTCTGAAATAGGGAAGAATCTCTGTATACTTTAACTCTTTGGCTGCAGTGATTGCACAGACGGCCTCACTTTTTTTTTTTTTTTTTTGGTCTTCATAAGAGAGGCACTGTAGCTGACTGGGAGATACTAAATATACATCATTTATAATATTTTACCATAGTACTTTTTTTTCCCTGAAAATGGCCAAAACAAGGTTGACACAGTTTTCTCGAAAGCTCAGTACCCAGAACTGAAATCACTGGATTGAGTGAATTCATCAGAAAAAAAAATGTTTAAATGCTGCTTAAATAAATGAAATTAAAAAAAAAATTGGCTCAATCCTGTATATAGTCCATATTCTGGCAAAGTTTTTACACATCTGTTAAGCCTGAGTTAGAAATGAGTAGGCCCAATGTAATCAGGGAAAGGCTTTTCTTGCTATGTTAATAAATATTTTTTTATGGCATCTAATGAGATGGACATTTTCTGAAGACAGAAAAAATAGGTCTTAACTTCAACAAAAGATAATGCTAAGGGCTTATAAATAAATGAAAAAAACTACTATTAAACCTGGTAAAATACAATCTGATTTGCAGCTGCATCTCTCTAAATAACATAAAATTTTTAACTGCAGACAGCTACCAAGTAATTAACAGAGGTTTTTCAAACTTGATATGCAGGAGGTTATTAATCCTTACTGCCTTCTTAGGAAAACCCTTTTCATAAAATTTGCAGAGTCAAGACTTCAAGCCCAAATTCACGGTGGCATAATCAACATAGTTCCATTTACTTTTCCATGGAAACAGCAAATTTTGCACTGCAACATGCAAAGTTTCAGAACAGACCTGGGTGGCTACATATCTGTATCAGGGAAGCAGAATGTTTGTGGCTTTGACTTGATGCTAATAACAAAAGCCCATGTGCCGCACAAAATTTAGGAATAGGGGAAGTGCATGGATCACCTCCCTCTATACAGGAGAGAGGCAGCTGTCCCTATGGTACTGTCTCCACATCCTTCCATGGAGAAGAAGGAGCTCCAGAGTTCCAGACTTTGGCTCTGGATTAGAATGAAGACTCGACAGGTCAGATGCTGCGATGGACAGATGAACTGGCAATGCCACTGTCTGGCACAGTACAAAGCAAAGACTGCTGTCTCAAAGGCTGATACCACCTTTTCTGTAGCGATCCTTCTGGACAGCAGCCAGGGGAATCATTGGTAATGCGGATCCGTGAAGTCATCTTGCTTGAGTGCTGATGGAGAACTATGGCTGAACTTGGCTTCCCATGCCCCTAATAGGTTGGGGGTGAAATCCATGTGAAGGAGGATCTGAGTGAGGAGATCTTCATCAAGACTTCTGTTCTCAGAGTGTCACCCTGTGAGTTTCCCTATTGGTTCATGAGGCACAGCATCATTATAGTATGATGGAATAGTCAAGATGCTGATGAAACAAATATGCACCATCTCCTTTTATAAAATGCTAAGGATAGCTAGCAATGCAGCTCTGAGTCAGAAACGTACTTTGTCATGTATCAGACTACCAAAATACCTGAAGAGGTCCCAAAGAAAGTTTGGTTATCAAAGGGTGAGTGATCAAAGCCAGCACTGACTTACAAAACAAAAATGTAAAACAAAAACTGTTCAATCTGAAAGGCAAGCAAATATACAAGCCAACTCTCTACAACTCCATTTCCATTTATCACAAATGTGGCGGGAAGTAACATTCACACACGGAAATGTATAAGACTCATTTTCCCCACCAAGTCTTGTAGCTATACCATTTGTTCTCTCTATTACTGCCACACTGAAAGCACCTGCCTGTTTTGAAGCATTGTTTAAAAATAGTTCTTGAACTTGTAAGCTATTTACAAATTGAACCTTGAACGTTGTGCTATTTCCTCTGTTTTGTTTTTGCAACTTATATTTCTGGATACTTCTCCTTCCAAATAAACAAAGAAAAGCCTAAAAAGAATGGTTTGAATACTGTAATTGCACCTTCGTTGTAAAATCCAACCAACCATAATTTACTATGCAGCATTTTAACTTAAATCTCATCTGCATTTAACCATCTTGGAAAAGAAAATAATGCAGAAGACAGTCAGGAATTCAAAGTAAAGCAGTTTGAAAATAAGTCCTACCTGCTTTTCACATGGAAGTTTTCAGTTTGGAAAGGTGATTTAAATTTTATCTAAATAAATTGTATTTAATTCTGAGTTTCTGTCCCACCTTTCTCTTTACTCTTCAGATTTCTCTCTCATCTTCTTGCTGGGACTTCTAGCCCCTCTGAAGTTCATGAGAATTCCCAAGTAGATGGGTTTCCACCACTTTAAGAAGAGAATCTCATATGATAAGCATGTGAGCAGCTTCTTTGTTCAAACCAATCTCATGACTCTCTTTGAAGGTAATCCTTTAGTGGTCTCATGACCCATCTCCCTGCCCAGAGGGTATTTTCATCTCATGGCGGAACAAGGCACAACAAATCTACTTTGATAGTGCCCAAATCTCCAATTTGTTAAACCTCTCTGCAAAGAGTGGCTACACTCACTGTAAGAATGCCGGCACCACAGAAGGGCTAAAGCAGGAGCTGAAACTTTTAATTTGAAGTGTCCCCTCCCTTCTGCTAAAATTTCAACGTTATTTGCATAATTGAGACAATTGAACATAATAGTCCTTTCAGGGGTCCTCATTAGACGTACAGCTCTACATTCTTTGAAAATGAGGAAAAAGGAGGTCATACAGCATTAATTATATCTAATCCTTTTTAGAACTATTTGAAGTTAGGCAAGATATCTGTACTAAAACTGCTAAAGGAGTAAATAAGCCATCCATTTTAAAATTTTATACTCAACATATTCCACACATCTTCATACCCTGTTGCTTTTGCCACTTGAGTTAATTTGCTGTGAATGTTTCTTTTGTATTTTCTATTACTTGTAAACTATTAATGGCAGATGACACAATCTGTGGTTAGCATTTCTTTTTGCTGCTCTGTCTGTGATACATCTTACTTATTGTTTGGTTGCCAACATAGTAAATGACACAAGAAATGTAGACCATATCTCAGAGGGAGTTAAATGTGATGTAATTCATTCCTTATGTTGCACTGTATTGCAAAAACATGCAGTCCACTGGATTTTGGCCTTATTTTGATATTCCTATAGCAATCCAATCCATTGCATACTTACAATATCTCGTTTTTGCATTGGCACAGTAACATTTTCACAGACAAAACTGCAACTCGTCCCCTTTCCTAAAGGCCAATAAATCCAGTTTAAATAGCATTCTTTTTTGGGCCAGACTCTACACTACTTACTCAGACAAAGCTTCTATTGACTTCACTAATAGAATTCAAGAAGACTTTTGCCTGAATGAGAAGTAAAGCATCAGACTAGAATAGTGAAAATGACGATTTTGGACTCAAGTTCTTTGTCATTTGTAGTAAGATCATCCATCATCCCAGCACTTATGGAAAAGCACAGAAATTCAGAGTGGATCTCTCTGCTACATGGGCTCTGAGGTTCTATGAACAACATTCAAGGAATTCAGCAAGAGCTCATTGTAATCTGCCTACTTAGGGTCATATTCCAGTTAGGGCATGATCTAAAGCTCATTGAGATCATTGGGAGATTGAAATTCATCACAGGTGTGCTCTAAAGCATCATAAACATCTATTTTCCCCCCATGTTTGGTTCAATATCTTGGTTCTTATCCATAAAATCAGATATAGTTTAGGTCCTTGTTGTCATGGAAACCAGCTTATTTCTTGTATCCTATTCAAACAAATGGGATTGTCTGAAAAGGCCTTGCTAATGATTCTTAAAAGTATGACTCAAGGCAAAATATGTGTCCCGCTAAAGTCATTGGGAGTTTTCCCATTAACTTCAGTGGGGCCAAGATTCTCTCTCTCCCCCCTTCCCCTGCCTCCTCCCCCCCCCGGCCCCCCTCCCAAGTGCCCTGGCTGGAAACAACCTCCTGGAAACCATTTCCTTCAGTGTGGAAGAAGTTGGCTTCTGGGGCAGACCTCATGTGCTTCACTCACTTGGGCCCATGACAGATGTTACATTTAAAATGTGATAAGCCAGTTAATCATGTCTTAAAGCAGGGGTGGGCAATTATTTGGGCCAGAGGGCCACTTAGGGAGTTTTGGTGAGCTGCTGCAGGATGGGTCAACACCCCCACCTCCTCGCAACAGCCCACCAAAACTCCCTAAGTGGCCCTCCAGCCCAAATAATTGTTCATCCCTGATCTGTGAGTGGACAAAGATTAGGGAACCTAACCGTTTTTCCCTTCTTCTCCCTGCATCCCTTCCCCTGCCCCAAGTCTCTGGCATGCGACCAGGCTGGACCAGTGCCATGCGGTTTTCTCATGCACTGCCTCAGGCCACGTGGGTGCAACTGGAGCAGCTCCCACCTGGCCCAGCTGCATGCCAGGGACTTGAGGCAGGGGAGGGGGTGCAGGGAGAAGTAGGGAACACAGCATGGTACTGGCCTGGCCTGGCCTGGCTTGAATAACCCACAGCTCCTGGCACTCCCCTGTATTCCCTCCCCTGCCCCAACTCCTCAGCATGCAACTGGGTTGGGCAGGAGCAGTGTCAGCTGTGCCCACGTGGTCTGAGGCAGTGTGTGGGAACACTAGTCGGGCCTGGTCACATGCCGGGGACTTGGGGTAGGGCAGGAGCTGCACTAGGTCAGGCAGAAGCCACAGCAGCTACTCTAGCTACATCTACACGGTGCAGCCCAAAGCAGTGAGCAGGAACACAGTATGGCACCGCTTTAGCAGCACCCATACCCCTGGTGGGTTCTGGCCTGGCACGGCCCAGATAACTTGCCACTCCTGGCTATCTTCCCCTTGCACCTCCTCCCTCACCAGCAAGGAGAACCTTCGCTGAGCTTTGATTTGCCAGGGGCTGGGCTGCCTGGTCTGCAAACAGCCAGAGAGTCAGAGGAACTGCATGCAGACAGCTTCTTTGGGAAGAAACCTGGCCAAGAGCTCATCCCCCACTGCCTTGGAAGGTACAATGTTGGGTAGGGAGGACAGGGGCTCCTGCTGCTGCCACTGGCTGGCATGGAGAAGGGAGAAGGGCAAGAGTCTCCAAAAGCCAGAGTGGCCATGGACCAAATACAGTTCTCCTTCACAGAAGCAGCCATGGGCTGGACAGAATCATTTGGTGGGCCACATGTGGCCTGTGGGCAGTATTTTGCCCATCCTTGTCTTAAAAAAGTGTAACCTGGCCTCAAGTTCAGGCAATTAATGGCATGACAAAATGTAAAGCCAGCCACAAAATTATTACACAGAATATGTGTAATAATTTTGTGGCTGGTTTCTATTGCATCTTAAAAGGAATGTGGTGTGGCAGGGTGGATTGCATCAAGGTCTCTAAGTGGCCTCGGTGCAGTCCCTACCAGCTGACAATCAGCTGATCATTGGCTGGTTCTGAAACTGTATTGGTACCGAAACCCTGGAGTCACGCCCGTGCTGCTGGCAATCAGCTGATTGTGGCATGCACATGTGGAAGGAGGTGCAATTACTGGGATCAGGGATCAGAATCCATTGTTCCTTTAAATACACATGTCTCAGCAGCCTTTGATTCCCAAGTCACAGTTGAAAGTGGGATTTAGGCACACAGGCAACATTCTGCCAATCTGTGCATTTAGATAGCCTATTTTGTTTTGGTTTGGGGATTTTTTTGTGGTTTTTTTTGTCTGACAGAGCAGGATAAGTGGGATTGAGTCCTTTTTGCTCTTAAGCCCAACAGTGCTATAGTCTTAAGCTTTATCAGTTACATACATGTGCCAAGGGACATGTGTCATAAACCACCAAATATAACATAGAACCATACATTTCCATGCTACTCCATAGGGGAAACTCCAGTTGAAAGTACTGGAGGTTCTGTACAGAGATAGGAAGTAAAACGAGGCCCAGAATTTACAAAATTACACTGGAGTAAATGTTATATTTTTCTAGATTAAGTTGTGATTTTTGTCAACACTTCTTTTGATTTTTAATTGACAGAGTAGACAATCCTGCCAGGGTATCCTGCAGCGGACAACAAAACAAGGCTTGCACTTCATTTTAAACAACTAGACTGATGAAAGGCAATCGAACAGCTTCGTTCTGTAACAAAAAGACAAGCACAAAGAAAACTGTGCCGACTTAACTGCATTTAGTTTAATGTAGCACTGAGCACATACAGCATCTGCACCCAATCAGAAAACTGCAACCACTTTTGTCTCAGATTATGAAAAATGGGGGGGGGGGGGGGGGGGGGCTGTTTTTTTTTTAAGTCATTTTCTAACAGTGCTGAAAATTAATCAGTATTTGAGGTATTTTCAATTATTTCAAAGCCTGAAAAGTTTGAGATGTTGCTATCATGGGGCTGTTCAGAATGGGGTTTCAGAAAATAAAATATGGAAATACATTTCACATCTAAATGGGAGAGGGAGATGTGAGCTCATAGCAGACCAAGTTACTGATCTATTTAATCCAGAAGTGTTGTCTCAAACAGTATCTCAACATTAGACGCTTAAGAGAAAAAGTCTTACTGCAGCGAGTGAACTGTACAGAGCATAACTGTCAATGGTGGGTAAAATTCTTCATGTTTGCAGGTGATCCTGAAGCCTCTACTATAATAGGTATACACAAAAGTCATGTCTTGAATAAAATAAGGACATATTTACTCTAGCACCAGCTATCTTGGAACACTTGGAGACATAGAAACTACATACACAATATTAAATCATTCAGTCTCTTTTTGATTAAAGCACCCAGTCCAGCTATTCCTCCAACAGCTTGCTCAAAGCTAAAGACAGAAGCCCAATAACCTAGATTTTCTGAATGAGGATGAACATAAAGAGAACCAGGAATGAAATGACTTGTTCAGGCTAAATGTATCTAGTTCTTACTGGCGGGGGAGGGAAATATTTTTTCTTGTCATTGTAGCTACTAAAAGCATTATTGATTGAGCTTGAAGATACCTCATCAGCTATTAAATGAATACATTCTGTTTTATAGTTCTTGCAGTTAGTGAAAAAATCGCAACGCATACTATCATAACTGAGTACCAGAAACCCCAAAATTAATGGTTTCAATGAAAGTACAGATTAAGCAGCAATATTTTAGTCACCAAGCAGCCCTTCACAATACAACTTCCAGTACAGATGATAGTTGGGAAGAATCTAGGTATCCCACTTGTGAGCAAACCAAGGTTATTATTCTTCATTGCAGAGTACCATGGATTTACAGGTT